TCAGGATAGTTATACATCTGATCCAGATATGACAACAATAATTGAGTTAGCCGATACTATTGATGGTTATTTGGATAATACAGGAACGAATAGAACAATTTTATCCAACCAAATAAAAAGAGTAAGACGACAGATACGTCGCAAATACAACAATCTTCAAACCGATCTTATAAATGAGCAACAACGAAGATATAGTGCAGAAGCAGAACGATATACATCAAACAGAGTTAGAAACTTCGTCTCAAGTCTCCAATTCATCTTCGACAGAATTATCCATATGTGTAAAGCCTAAATCATTAGAAGGTAAAGAAATGGATAATTTTCTGGTTGAAAGGCATATGAACAGGTTCGTATCGAAATAATTGAAAGGAATAGAGAGAAAAAGCTTCAACGTGAGTCACCTACTGAAAAGAGGACACTTACATGTCTAATAACGGAGTTAGTGCTAAAGCACATATTAAATCTAGTATATCTCTCGAGCAGAAAAAAGAACAAGGTTTAATACAGGAGATATCAACATCTATTAAAGATCAGAGCCAAGCCACCGAATTTCAGCGAACAATTCGCCAAATTCAGGAAAGTAAAGTACTACTAAATTTAACAAGTTTGTACAAGAAAGCTTGTGATGCGGAAAAGCAAGCGATTAAAGTTAATCAAGATGAAATTACATGTTGGTATTATTATATTATAGAATTCGATAACCAGGTTAAAAATCTTATGAAATCTGATCATATTGGCGAGAAAAAGGCGAAAGGACAAATTTATGATTTTATTATTGCACAACTAAATACCAAGCGCAAAACGTTACAAAAGCAAACCCAAAAGGCTAGAAAGGTTTATAATTTATTCGAAAAAATAGGGATAGGTAAGATTCAGCATATCAAAACCTTTAGTGCAGATGCTATTTCAAGATTTACTAATTCTCAGATTTACGCCGGGGCCCCAGCTCGTCTGGGGGGCTGCCAGTGAACTGTCAATTATCAAGTATATAAATTCAAACGATTATTGATCATTTCGCTAAAAAGCCTGACATAGAATATACCGATGACCAGGACGATTCAGATGACTTACCCGAAACAGAGATAAGTATACTTACTGAAGAGACAAAGTCTCGAGTCGGAGACTCATCGATTCCTTTAGACCCAAAGGGTCATTGCTCTGCAATAGATTCCCAAGAAAATAATCAAGTTGAGACAAAGGCTCGAAACTCTGCTTCCTCAAAATTACCAGAAACTGAAGTAAGTATACTTACATCTAGCCACTGTGTGACCGCCTCTGACAACAAATCTCGGCCTCCAATCTCTATGATCCAGAAGAAAAGCGAAAATCTGTTATTAATAAAGTGCTAGAGCAATTTCCTTATTTATTTTCGAAGTATAGCAATAAAAATCACGATTATTTTGATTTTGTCAATACAAGAACTTATCGTCTCCGATGCGGGGAGGCCTATCAAAATTCAATCCAAATAGTAACGGTGAAAGCATAGGCTACTGATTTCGAATATTAATGTCATCTGAAGGCCTCACCAATTCAACTCGATATTCACCACTATCATAATCAATTTTTTCAAATACGTTACTCATAAACTACTTGACCTATAATAACATTCAATCATGTCAGCTATCGCAACTGAAATTGTTGAAAAATACAATCTCATCCCAAGATGAGTGTGTCCGATCTCAGTAAATATAACTCAGAATTTCTTGAAAAACCTTACCGATGATAGAAAGCGGAATCAGGCACGAAGACGTCTTCGGGATGGGTTTAATTTAGCAGTGAACAGGTAGGTGCATTGATACCTAATCAGAGAAGTGGGAAAAATAAAACTATAAATTTGGTTGAAGGTAATTGTAGAATAGCTATAACTAAGCCTCCAAAAATCTGGAAGAAGAAATTATCAGAGAGATAGCAAAACGAATCTTGCAAAATAGATCCGGGTTTAGTGAGGATCAAGTAAATACCTTATTCTCAATCCAGAAAAACGGGAAGTGTAACTACCTCAGATAAAAATGTAAATATTGCAATTTCCAACAAACCCTCGAAAGGAATAGAGGAAGAAACTATTGGAGATATGGCGCAACGGATTTTACGAGATAAACTTAGCATTAGAGATGTAAGAGCTGAAGCTTATGCCTTAGCCCTATCGGCACCGGATGCCAATGCTGGTTCATCACGTCTCTCTCGTCTTCGTAGAGAATTGAGGAACCTTAATGCATCACCTGAGATAATCGATGTTACTAAATTTCCAGATATTACAGAAGACGCTAACAAAATCCAGAGGGACAATCGGAAAAAGGCTGAAGCTAATCGTATTGACTTTCCATATCATTTTACGTTAGAATCGGTCAGAGAGAGATTAGATGCGCATGATATTAAAACTTTACCTGATTGTCAGGCTCTTGCTGATGTTATGGTGATGCTTTGTATTCATCCTGCTGAACTTAAAACTTTACGCATTACAGATGCTGGAGTGACAGGTTATGCGAAGAATCGAGGTCAGCCAGATATTCCCAGAAAATTTAGATCTATGGAAAAGAATCAAGAACGAGCAAAGAACTACTCACTTGGATTCAGCGTGCTATATCATCTGGACGAATGGGTGATCCAGGTAAGCCAGGAGTTAAATGGTTCAATACAAGTTAAAAACTGGACTACGGATAGTAAGGGTGGTGACTATTGGTTCTATTGGTGAATTATTGATTAAAGATCAATGTTGCGATTTCCTTTTTAGTTGGCAAAGACAGTCTATGATTTATTCAGGTCTGACGGTTTGACTGGATGATGGCTATAGTTAATCGTGTTTAATGCAATGAGTTTACATTGCGAAATCGATGACGTCAGTTATACAATGTTTCTGCATATAAAAAATGTGGCTCACGACCAATGCGAGAACTAAATATCGAAATTTCCTGCATCACATTGTATATCACCTTGACGTATCACTTCGTATATAACCCGCGTTTCTTTATACACGTTCCAAATGTATCCCCTCCGACTTGGGTCTTTTTCAAAAGTTTTACATTATTACGAAAAGATCATGGTCAAACTGAACCCAAAGAAATTTATTAAAACTTTGACAGCTAAAAGAACAAACACGGAAAGGCTCGCCGAGAAAATGAGTAAATATTAGCAAAACCATAGTGATATTCTGTATGTAAAAGAACTTGACGATTTCTGTTTTTAGAACCTATGACTCTTCCGGATGTTCTACGGAATGAAGATACTGCCGAATTGATCCTTAAAGCAGTCAAGGAAATTCGTTCTCAGCTAATAGACATAATGAAAATCCCACCGATACTTCCCAGAATTCTTACTGCTAAGTTACCTTCGGACCAATACAAAGTGATGAACACCTCACTCAATTTATGGGCTCTACTACAAACAAAAAATATCCCTATTTTTTTTGTAACTGGAACAGCAGGAACTGGAAAATCATACATTATTCATTTATTAACAAACTACCTAACACAAAAAAAGAGACAATTTTTACTAATGGCTCCAACCGGAGTTGCTGCCCAAAATATCGATGATCCTCTTTATTCAACGGAATAACGATGGATTCAACGATACCCCAGTTGCAAATTGCCGAAATGGTGTTCCCGGTCAGACGTTAACGGAACTCATCAGATATATTGTCGCAAGTGGCGGAGTAAACTTTCGCGGGTTGAACACCTTATTTCTATTCAGAGAAGGCCTAGTCCTCAGTCAATGTCAATACGGTATTCCGCTATGGTATAAAATTTTTTATTTTTATTCTAAAAATTGCATTGCTCTGGATAGTTGAGAAGGAGGTAACCCTTTGTTAATAAACGTTCCTAACGATTCCATTCCTATTTCTTTGCTAAAGGGCCCACCACCAAACTGGGATCGCAGATGTGTGTCTGTCTGCCTTTAGAATAAACAAATTGACAGCCACAGGACGCATTGACTACGAGCTCTTCGAATATCCCCTTACGCGATGCTTATAACGCTTTGCCTTATGGGGAAACTCAAAAGAAATTGCTATGGTGCAAGACACCTAAAGACCGAACAGTCCGAAATTTTGTTCTACAGATCACTTATCAATCACATGACATTTA